CCCGCCCTCCGCCCCCTCTAGCTCACTCAAGCCCCCCGCCTCCGCTCACTCAAGCCCCCGGCCTCCGCTCACTCTAGCTCACTCAAGCCACCCGCCTCCGCTCACTCTAGCCCCCGGCCTGCGCTCACTCTAGCCCCCGGCCTCCGCTCACTCAAGCCGCCGGCCTCCTGTTTGACAGGATGAAGACCAATCCGTAGATGAAACCGTCTTTGAAGGCACCGTTTCAGAATAATTCTAGAGTTTTCTGGGAGTTTAATCAGATCCACTGAAACTGAAAGCGTTTGGTTGCCTTCACTTATCCGCTGCATGTTATTCTGTTCAGACAGAGGTTTATTCAAACCGAAACAATAGACAAGCGCTCATGGGTTGACATGACTGAGACCAATCAGAAGCAAAGACAGCCAGCAATGTGTCTACTGTCAGATTCATGTCAAATAAGAGTGTGTTTGTACTTCACTGTACTTTGGAGACAATTTGTACCTAGAAATGAGATAAACCTGACAAAACCTCCTTTTGGGGATGTTCTCATTTGTAAAAATGTTATAAAAAGAAAGTTTTTTTTCTTTTTCATTAAATTTTCTCTTTGATTATAATATTTGTAACTAGCTGTAAACAATTGAAGTTTATGCAATTAAAACAAGTAAATGTGCATGTGTGAGTGTGTGTGTGTGTGAGTGTGTGTGTGAGTGAGTGTGTGTGTGAGTGTGTGTGAGAGTGTGTGTGTGTGTGTGTGTGAGTGCGTGTGTGAGTGCGTGTGTGAGTGAGTGTGTGTGTGAGAGAGAGAGAGTGTGTGTGTGTGTGTGTGTGTGAGTGAGTGTGTGAGTGTGTGTGTGAGTGAGTGTGTGTGTGAGTGTGTGTGAGAGTGTGTGTGTGTGTGTGTGTGAGTGCGTGTGTGAGTGCGTGTGTGAGTGAGTGTGTGTGTGAGAGAGAGAGAGTGTGTGTGTGTGTGTGTGTGTGAGTGAGTGTGTGAGTGTGTGTGTGAGTGAGTGTGTGTGTGTGTGTGTGAGAGAGAGTGTGTGTGTGTGTGAGTATGTGTGAGTGTGTGTGTGTTTTGGGGAGGGAAATTACTAATAAATTCAAAATATGTTTTGATAAAGCCAAGTATGTTAATTTTAATGATTAGTTTCAACACATTAGCTGTTGTTCATCTGCAATGTGTGTTAATATCCTAATTAACTCATTATGAAACATTAAATTGCCTTAATTTAGTCTCTAATTAATTTTCACTCAACGTCGCGAAGTTTGAATCGTTTCAGCGAATCGGTTCTTTTGAACGGTTCTTTTTTACGTTCGTCTAGATGGTGTGAATCATCGATAAGATCCGGTTTAAA